CTGACCATGCTAACACAGGTCTCTCTTCATCCTCTTAGAAAGCTACCAGTACCACTTCCATGATAACCATTAATTCACTAATCTAAGAAAAGACTCATCTATTCATGGGTCCACATGACCTACCTCTTAAAGGCCCCAGCTCTCAATATTGCCAAATTGGGGCTTAACTTTCAACATGACTTTTGGAGTGGACAAATATTAAAACCATAGCAGTATGTAAATAAGCCTTCCAAAGATACTTACTACAGAAGAATAAAATTACTCTCTACAGTAGGTTGAATGTTGACTAGCATCCCCCAAATTTCATGTTTACCTGGAACCTCAGAATGTAGCATTACTGGGAGATAAGGTCCTTGCAGATGCAACTAATTAAGAATCATGAGATAAAATCATCCCTGAGTTAAAATGGGCCCTAAATCCAATAACTGATATGCTTATAATAGCAGGAGAGGGCACAGAGAGACACATACAGAGGGAGAGGTCCTGTAGAGATGAAGTCAACGTTTGAAGTGATAGTGCCAAAGGCCAAAGAATACCTGCAACCCCCAGAAGCTGGAAGAGGCAGCGAAAGATTTTCACTGTGAGCCTTCAGAGGGAATGTGGCCCTGCTGTGTTTTGATTCTGACTTCTAGCCTCCAAAACCATGAGAGAATCAATTTCTGTTGTTTTAAAGTCACCCAGTTTATTTCAATTTACTACAGCAGCCATAGGTAACTAGTACCCTATCCCCGTACTCTCTAGGACTAAAACAGAGGAAAAGGTACAGCAGTTTTATAAGGGTAAATAGTGACCTCAAAGCCCTCAATTGATAGGAGCACGTAAGGACAAAGAAAGATCAATAAGAAAACTTAAGAGTTCGAAGTGATGGTTTCTGGTAGCGGTAAGTCAACCTCAAACGAACTGTACTGCCCTCTATTTGGAGTTGTTCCCTCTTAAATTCAATGCAGATGCCCTTCAAAAGTGATACAACATCTTCTAATACAATCCTTTCAAGCAAGCCAGAAACTCTTCTTGAAGTGGAACTGATCCTTTAAAAATTAAAAAAAAAAATTAATAGGCTGGGTGCAGTGGCTCATGCCTTTGGGAGGCTGAGGTAGGAGGACAGCTGGAGCCCAGGAGTTTGTGACTAGCATGGGCAACATAGTGAAACACCCATTTCTATAAAAAAAAAATTGAAAATCTGCTGCACATGGTGGGGCACACCTGTAGTCCCAGCTACTGGGGAGGCTGAGATGGGAGGATTGCTCAAACCTGGGAGGTTGAGACTGCAGTGAGCCATGATCATTCTACTGGACTCCAGCTTGGGTGACAAAGCAAGGCCTTTATATTTTTAGAACTCCAAGTGGTATATTGATGTAAATAATTAATATTTTACAATGATATCTGATCAACAGCAAAAGCATGCTGGAAATTACTTAATTGAACATAAATCAGTTCTGAAAAAAATTATTTATGTTCCTGAAGAACTTGATTCAGATATTTTTCATCAATAGAAATTTAAATATAATATCAGTCACAAATTTACAGGGAGGAAAATCAATTTTCTTTTGGCCTAGAGTATATACTATCATTACACTTGGCAAAGACCCTAATAAGTATACAGAAAGTGGCTTGACGCATCAGACCAGCATGATTAAAGATTATGTTTGAATTGTCTCCTGATATAGAAAATTAACCATTTCTTAAGTAATACTAAACTCAGCTATTCTATTTGCTATGCAAATTTACATCATTTTAAAAGCAACATTTTAGTTAATTTTCAGTATGCCTATTAACTGTGCACATTGTTATATAGTTACACTTAAATCTTAAATTTCAGATAGTCCCACCTTATTTAACTTTTTATTTTTAAAAAGTCATAACCTGTGGTATAATCCTCTTTTGATATGCTTCACAAAAAATAAGAATGAAAAATACTGTAAAAAGTCTAAATACTATTTAAAAATATATTTTAAAATAGTTTAAGAAATAATTTTAAAAATATATTTCACACAAATATGAATGTGTGAAATATCTATTCACACATTTTTACCCTAAATGTACAAAAACCCTTTCATTTGGAAAAACAGAAATTGTATTCATATTTCCCTTAGAGACTCTAAAAACTGTAAGGATGATACATGCAGATATTAAGTATTAGACATTACATGTTTAAAGCAGCAAAGAATGAAAACATCAACTTCCTAGGAGACTGCAATATCATATTCTTTTCTTTTGTCTTTTTTTTAACTTAAGAGGTGTGTATTAATTACTATTAGCAATTAATTAGCCACCAAATATTCTAAAGGTGAAAATGAAAGGTTCTTACAATTCAGAGATGAATCTATTTATATTTGACTTTTCTTTCCTAAGACACTGATCTCCTAACACTTCATAAGTTAAGATGTGAATATAGATAATTAGGATATTCCTATATAATCAGGTAGAAAGTAAATACATTTTTGTTAGTAGCTACAATAATTTGTATTAAATGAATGAGTGAATAAAAAATAAATCATAACAAGGCACTGACTGGGATTGGTATAAAATATTTACTTTTAATATATAAATTAGTAATATTAAGCAGATATGTTACAAATGACAGAGAATTGTTATTGAGGTGCAAATAACTCAGCAGTAAATGTTAGCCATGACTAGGTTATAGGGTGTTTCTGCAATTCTTGCTTCTTTTTAGGTTAGCATAATGCTAACCTCTCAAGGTGTAGAGTAAACCTGCAATAGCTACAGCAAATAGAGTAGAAAAAAAGGATCTATGCAGACTATATTTTATTACATGGTTTCAGAATAGCATTATGATTATGATGACTAATGAGAAGAGGAAGAAGAGATGTTTTTAATTTTAAAGTGCTTTGGTATGTTCCCATTTCTAATTTACAGATGAGGAAACGGAGACTAACAGCACAAGAACAGTTGCCTATATCTCATAGCCAACAAACGATAACAGAGAAACTGAAATCCCTTTCTTCTATTTCTAAATCCTGTACTCTTTCTACTCTATTATATTGTTTCTTTATTCCCTCAAACCAGAGATATGTATTAACAGTAAAATTCTTAAATACTACAGTTAAAATAGAAATTCCTCCAAGCCAGTGTTGAAAGTGCCACAGTATTTATAAAACTAAAAATCAGCTTCTTAAAAATTATTGTTCTTGCATAAATTTAAAAAGAACAAAATCTTCTTTGAACTCCCCTATATTCCTCATACAGAATCTTGACAATGATAATCTGCTCCCAAAACTGTGAAGTAAATTGTGTATATGAATTAAAATAATAAGAACCTACAGAAATACATGGGAGATCTAATTCAGATAGGAGGAGTCAGTGATGGTCTGATTAACTATTTTATAATAAATGATATTATCACACTTCACAGAGTTTACAGTCTAGCAGAAGAGAAAAACATTAAACTAATAATTACATAACCACTTATTTATTTACACCTGAGGTCTATTCATTATCTTTGACTATGCCATATAATTCCAATCTTAACTCATTTGTACACATTACTTAGCTAGGCAATGCTCAATGTTCTACTTTCTATTTCCTTAAGTCCTATGTTTCATGATTTTTTTCAAAACCCAGCTCAAGTTCTGCCTCTTCCCAGCAGTTCACAGAAATCTCAGCCTCCACTAAATATCTTTAGCACTTAATGACTTTTTTTCAGCAATGGCAAATGGTTTTCCTATTACATGAAACTTCCATCAATTGGTAATGGTTGTCTAAAGTATTGTCTTCAGAGGGACTCTGAGGTCAAGTTTTGGTGTATTGACAGAGACCGCCATAATGGATTAGTGTTGTCTCACAGACAGTGAGAGGGAAAGGGGTTATGCTCAATTTAGAGCATTGACTTCACAACTAGACTGCCTAACTGTAAAAAAAATAATGTTTGTAGCATTCACTTTACACCAAATCCAGGTCTAGAGCATGCAATTTGACACTGAGAGTGCCTTATTTTATTTTTTAAAAACCTGTATCATTTCTCCTCAAGTATCTTGCAGATTCTTGCAGTCAGGACCATAGATACTTCCTTCTCTATGCTCATAGCATGTATTCATGCCTTGCAACATAGTCATCTGCTGATGACAATGAATTACCATTTTAGAATTCACGCTTATTACTATTATTTATGAACTCCATTTATGTCATAGCTCCTCTCAAAATATTATCAATATTAAACCCTTAGAGAAACTCTGTAACAGAAGCTATAAAATGCAAGTAAATATGTAATCTTTATCATGACCAGATTCAAATTAAATATTAGGATATTGATGACACTTAAGGATTAAATATATACCTGCCAAATAATAACATGAAACAAAGAGAAGATAAACAGCTTGCTTTTTTTCTTGAGACAGAGTCTCACACTGTAGTCCGGGCTGGAGTGCAGTGCTGCAATCTCACTGCAACCTCGACCTCCGGGGTTCAAGTGATTCACCTGCCTTAGCCTCCCGAGTAGCTGGCATTACAGGTGCCTGCCACCAAGCCTAGCTAATTTTTTGTATTTTTAGTAGAGACGGGTTTCACTATGTTGGCCAGGCTGGTCTCTAACTCTTGATCTGGTGATCCGCCTTCCTGGGCCTCCCAAAGTGCTGAGATTACAGGCATGAGCTACCGCGCCCAGCCTAAACAACTATTTTTTAAATGAGGTTAAACATTTTTTAAAAAATTCGGTCAGAAGCAATGGCTCCCGCCTGTAATCCTAGTACTTTGGGAGGCTGAGGTGGGCGGATTGCTTGAGCTCACGGTGAAACCCCGTCTCTATTAACATATAAAAAATTAGCCGGGCATGCATGTAATCCCAGCTACTTGGAAGGCTGAGGCAGGAGAATCACTTGAACCCAGGAGGTGGAGGTTGCGGTGAGCCGAGATCACACTCATTGCACTCTAGCCTGGGCAATAGAGCAAAATTCTGTCTCAAAACAACAACAACAATAACGACAGAAAAATAAAATAAAATGAAAAACAAAAACAAAAAATTAGCCAGGTGTGGCAGCACGCACCTGTAGTCCCAGCTACTTGGGAGGCTGAGGTGGAACAGCTTGAACCCAGGAGGTGGAGGGAGATTGCAGTGAGCCGAGATCGTGCCAGTGCACTCCAGCTTGGGTGACAGAGAGAGACCCTGTCTCAAAAAAAAAAAAAAAAAAAAAAAAAAATCAAAATCTGTGTATTTCAAAATATATTTTACATACTTATTATGTCCTAAAATTTTTATCTCTTTTTAGTATACTTCATTTTCCTGCACATAGTAAGTGTTAAAGAAATCCAAGGTGATTAGTTTAGACCTTACATTAGAGAGAAAGCTCTGCTTTACATTCCCCCTTGCTAAGGAAGTGTATTCATCATATTCCATAACAGCTCACAGTTTGTTATACATTAACTGCTCATTCTCTGTGCCAATAAGACTGTGCTGGAACAGCAAATGAATTTGGTGCGTTCATTTAAATGATTCTGCAAACCACAGGCTACCCAGTTGTCTAATGATAAGAGAGCCCCAAAGCCACCTGATCACCATTATACTCCCTTATTTTTTTGGATTCACATGGTCAGTACTGTCAGGATCTGAATACAGAGGAGAATGAGAAGTAAAAGTATACCTCAAACCTAATCACAAAAAGGGATTTTATTAATTTCGGCACCAGTGATGATGTGGCTAGGTTGGAAGGGGAATGGGGATATAAGATCTGGAGTGCTTTATCTGCTCCAAGACCAATGCTGGTTTTGGCACTTCTCTCACTCTAGTGAGTTGCAAAAAAACAAGCAGGTGCTAGCAATCTGAGAGACCACATGCCAGCTACAGCTGCTTCAAACTGATTCAATTACATCTGCCTGAATAGTCCCAGGACATCAAACTAGTTGAAGAGATCCATAGGTTGCAAGGAGACTTTGTCTATCCTGATGTACAATTGTCTCTGAGAAAATGGTCTGCAAATTTCCAAGTTGTGATATAAAGTGATCATGCCATCACCAGGCATTAAGAGAAAAGATGGGGGAATGTGATGTTTTATTCACTTTAAAATTAAAAATTGGTTGTAGAAAGCACAAATGGCCCCTTTGAATTTAAATCTGAAAGTCACTGAGGCCTTATGGATACCTTGAACAGCCCAATTTTGTGAGAACATTTCCTAAATCACTGGGTACAGCACATTTACAGAACATGCTCTTGGGATCCGGACTTCGCTCCAAACCTTGTTTGTACAAAAAAGGGCCAAGCAGCTGGGAAATTCTGGAGTGGAGTGTGTCCTCATTAGTTCCCATCTGCCACCAGAACTCAGCTCATGGCAAGTTTGGCTAAGTCCTGGTATACTCAGGTCCAAATGTGGGTCAGTTTTAATTACACTATACAGAATTGAGTGTGCAGTTTTAAAATCCTTATTATACAGCACAGAGGAATGGGCAGCTCTCCAGCTAATCAATTTTTTAAAAGTACATATATAAAAATTTTAAACCAGGCTAGACAGAGGGTGGAAAAAAATCTTAAAATGAGTACAAGGGTTACTTAAGAGAATTATTAGTGAAATTGGGTCATGAACAAGTTCTTTAAAACTTAAAAGTGAGAAACAAACTGTTTTCATTGGTAAGACTGGAAACTTTTATAAGGTATACAATGTGCCTTGCTCTTTTTGTAAATAACAATAAGCCTGTGGCCACAGTATAGTACACACCTATAAGAGCACTGGCTTTCGTGTAAGCAGAAATATTCCCTATTTTGTCACTCTTCACTCCAGCCCTTTCAGTGTTTGTTACTTATAGCATGGATTGAATAAAAGAAAAAAAAAATCACAAGCTACCTGGTAAATAGTGAAAAAAACAAAGATGAGGAAGGGGTGGGAGTGAGAGAAAAGGAGAGAAGAAAGCACATGTGCTGAGTAACAGACTCTGGGCATGACTTGTCTCTCAGTGCTGTCCACAAAAATGGGGGCCAGAATCAACCCATGCATGTTCAAATTCCAGCCTGTCCAAAAGCTTTATCAGGTTCAGGAGTGCTAAACACTAAGACTTCAAAGACAACTGTCAGTTAAAAAAACTCAGGAATAAAGAGATAAGACAGTCAATGATTAGGCATTTATGCACCATTTTTGAGAGCCAAAATGTCCCTTGGCACAGGTCCTAATGACAGCAAAAACAAAAAACACAAAAACCTTAACTGTTCAAAGTATCTTTGGGCTTTTGACTGCATTGTTATCAGGTTTATTTATTTAAAAAGCAGCATGGGATGCTAGGTTCAAATAACCAGCATTGAATATTTACAAGCTATAAGACTTTGAACAAATTGCTTATCCTCTCTGACATTTTGTTTTCTCACCTGTAAAATGGGAGAAATAACATGCTCCTCATAGGGCTGTTGCAAGCATCCTAAAATACATGTATATACACACACGGATATGTACATGGATATGTATATATCAAATATATATGTGTGTGTACTATGTGTGTGTGTGTGTGTACACACACACACACACACCATCTGGAATATGAAAGTTACTCAATAAATGTTAACATTATTAACTCAATTATTATGAACTAAGTTTTGCTCTCCTCCCTCTACCCACAAAAAAATCACATGTTGGAGTTCTAACCCCTAGCATTTCCAAATGAGATCTTACTTGGACATAAGGTCTCTAAAGAGGTAATCGAGTTAAAATAAAGTCATTAGGGTAGGGTTGAATTCAATATGAGTGATGTCCTTATACAAGGAAAGAAACCTGGACACAGAGACAGATACTTATAGAGGGAAGACAATATGGAAAGACATAGGAAGAAGATAGCTATCTATATGTCAAGAAGAAAGGCTGAAACAGATCTTTCCCTCATAGCCCTTAGAAGAACCAAGCTGGCTAATAAACCTTGATTTCAGACATCTGAACTGTGAGAAAACAGATTTCTGTTTAAGCCACCAGGTTTGTGGTTCTTTGTAATATACCTAACTAAATAAAAATTCAACTAATCATCAATACTTACCTTGATTTGTCATGGTCAAAACTACCCATCTGGTGTTAGGCAGGTCAATTGTATTACCTCTGTTGAGTAATAATAAATTCTATATATTATCTAGAGCTTTTCCTTTATTTTAAAAGCATCCTTTTCTGATTGCTGTTCAGGAGGGATACTGCTGTAATATAAACAGCCTGGCAGAGGAAAATGTTTTACTATAATTAAGATCATCTAGCTTTTATTAAAGATAATTAAGGGAAAATCATACATACAAATTCACAAATCCACTTTTCTCCTGTTGAATTTGCATAGAAGGAAATCAGAAAATCTTACCACACTAATTTCCTTCTCAAGAAAAAATAAGACCTTACACAGCCATATATGCATGACAACTATGCTCAGTAAACCTGAGGCTGCTTAGATTGCCAGGAGGACCACTTTTACGTCACTTTGATGCATGTGAAAGTAACTCGTCAAGCATGGGTTCTTCATCGTTTGCAAGAGACTGCTTTTAAGGGTATCCAACTTTCAGAACAGGGATGAGAGTTGTCTGGGTCATGTCAACAAGCTTTCTATTGCAAGACACACTCCCATAATCAACAGACACTGAAGTGAACGTGAGTATTCCCATCTTAACTTTTTCTTTATACAGCCCTAGCCTTCTACAGAAATGTAGCATGCATAATTAGAAATTACAAGGCTAACCATGCTGAACTGAGATACTCAACAGATATCCCCAGAGCTATAACTTGACCAAAGTTAACTTTCTTAAGGTATGTGTCCCACATTTCCTTCAAATTCCTGTAACAGTCATTATAACAATTTTTATATTTTGACAAGAGGAGAGAAAAAAAAATAATACACAGAGAATACTATGTAATAATACTTAGGTGGTAGTGGCACACAAAATACTTTGTATACCTAATTTACCTTTATCCACATATCCACCATTAAAAAGGAAGGCGTTGTTACCACCATATTATACATAGGAAAGCTTGAGGCTTAGTAAGCTCAGCCAACCTTGATAAGGTTGCACAGCTACTGAATAACAGAGCTAGACTTTTGGTAAAGGTCAGTTGTAAGGAATCCAAAGTTCCTAAATTCAAACTGAAGCATGAGATTTACAATCCAGATATCCTAAGTGCATCATTGGGTTCCAAGATGCTCATTTATTTAAGGTATTCACAGGCTTGTTGAAAGCATTTGAATTCACATTACCAGCATATGTGTTCTTGCTAAACCTAACTCAACTTATTCTCCTTATGAGGAAACCAGTGCTATTCACAAGCACAACCTAGATGGCTGTATTCAATTTAAATGAAATTAATCTTATTTATTATAAGAACACATGAAAATGGAATTACCATGCAATCATGCAATCCAGCAATTCCACTTCTGTGTATATACTCAAAAAAATTAAAAGCAGGTTGTCAAAGAGATAGTTATACACCTATAATAATAGCAGAATTATTAATTATAATTAAAACATGGGAGCAACCCGAAGTGTCCACTGATGAATGAATGGATAGGCAAAATGTGGTATATACATGCAATTAATTATTATTCGGTCTTAATAATGAAAGAAATCCTGACATGTACTACCACATGGATGAAGGCTGAGGACATTACATTAAGTGAAATAAGCCAAACATGAGAAGACAAATACTATATGATTCCACTTATATGACTACTTAGAGTAGTCGAAATGACAGAGACAGAAACTAGAATGGTGGTTGCCAGGGGCTGGGAGTGGGAGTGCAGAGGTAAATGGGAAGTTATATTTTAATGGGTATAGTGTCTTAGTTTTACAATATGAAACTGTTATATAGAGATGTATTGTGATGATGGCTGTGCAAGCATTATAAATTTATTTAATACCATTGAACTGTATAGCAAAAAATAGTTAAGATAGTAAATAAAAGTTGGGGAAAAATAATAAAAATATCACATGAAGATCAGTACACTGTTTCATGATTTTTTATAATATCTGCTAAGGGCAAGGAAGTAGAGATAACTGTATAGAACCTTTGAGTACAATCTATGTGATAATGTCCAGACCAGGATCCCTGTTCCCAGACAATTACACGCTCTTTTTTCAGAGTCTAAATTGCAGTAGTGGTGATGGTGGTGGTAATGGTAGTGATAGAAATGACAGTAGTATAGCTAAGATTTCTTCAGTACTTGCTATGTGCCAACCATAGGACTAAGAATCTTACATACAGTGTGTTATCTAACTCTCAGACAACAGATACTATTATTTTCCTTGTTTTATAAATGAGGAAAAAGGGAACAGAAAGATTAGGTAACTGAGACCATACTAATAATAATTGGTGAAATCAAAAAGAACTCTATTGATAGATCTTTGTCTCTCACTCTTGAGGACAAAGATTTTGTTGTATTCATCTAGCCCAGCACTATGTCTAGCAAACAGCAGACATCCATTCACCATGCAGAAAAAAAAGAACTGAGGAAGGGAGAGGGGAAAAGAAGCTGGAAAAAAAATTGTATCTAGACAAGCTATGTTCTCAATAAATGTGGGGTTTCTTTCTTTATTTCTTTAACTCTGAAATCACCGGGGAACCTGCAATAATGCTCAGGAATCCTTGAGCATAGGGATTTCTCCCTCTTTGATATTCTAGACTATTCCTGACACAGGACCCTCCAAAAGCTGCTAATATCTGTCTAGTTTAATGATTAATATTCTAGCAAATACATATGCTTGGCTCACTTCTTAATTTCTAATTTTGACACTCACAGAGAAAGAGAGTTTAATCTACCACACTAAGCTTCACTGGAAAAAACTGATGTCTTTGGTGTTGGCCTCTTGCCCACTGGTGTGAACTGAGGTAAAAGAAAAACTGTCCTCAGAGGAAAGGTAGTTCCAAGCCTAAAAGTGCCACATAATGTCATAAACCAGTGGTACTAAAATTGAGAACCCTAAACAAAAGGTTTTAACGCAATAGATACTGGCTTATTATGTAAACTGTGCCCATCTTATGTGATAGGCTTATGCCACACAAAATGGAACATTAGAATGGTCTATGTAAAGCAGGTCTTAACTGCTCTATTTTGACTCTACCCTTGCTTGGTTTTACCTCTATTTATAGTTAAAATTTAGTGAGTCATAGAGGCCATAATTATAAATATGTATACAGTAAACCCAGGGTCCATCACTTTTGCTTAGCAAAATAATTACAGATTTTTAATATTCTGATCTTACCTGACCCAAAGGAATTAAACACACATTTTGGGTTTTTTGTTTTGTTTTGTTTTGTTTTAGTGAGATAGAGATAGGGAAGGAGAGAGAGAGAGCACAAGCTAGTGCTCAGGAAAGATGAGACAATAACCATAGAACATAGAAGATTTGTCTATTTATATACTGCAAAGTATTTCCAAGGTGACAAGTAACTTGGCCATTAATGCCTCAGCTTTATGAGTATGATGAGAATAATATAACGACTTCTTGTAGTAAGTAAAAATTAGTTTAAAGCATATTGCAAATAGTGTTATTTCAATTATTCATTAAAAGAGTCAAAGAGGATCAATTTTATCCATTAATTTCTCATTTTAAGGACAGAATTTATCAGTATACTCATCTCTATCTAACTTGCAGTATGAGAACTAAAGTAAGTCCATCAAGACTCATCCAAAATGTATAACAAGTAATAAGATTTTAGGACACAATTCCTCTACTCCTAATACAACTCCAGAAATGTTTTATTCATAAATGCATTCATTCAACATTTATTGACCAACTACTATGTACAAGGCATTGTATAAGGGGCTGTGGCTATCCTCTACTTACCTTTGTACTGCCTTTCCTACTTCCAAAGAGGTTAGTTAAATTCATACCAAAGTGATTTGTTTAAAAAAAAATTTCCAAATGGGCCAATAAAAGGAAAAGATACACTAACTCTAAGACTTCAGATTTAAGTTACGAAATGCTGATGGAAACTCCTCAGCATTTAAAAGAATAGGTTAGGGAGAATAATGCAAGTCATTTGAATGTTTTCAATATTAGAAATCTGAGCGTACTGAATAAATTAATTAAATATCTTTCATATTGAGCTGTGGCTTTTTAATTGTATTTATAGAACTTTACCTATTAGCAAAACATACAATCTATAACTTTTCTATATTAAAAATATAGATATCTGTCAGAAAACATAAAACCATAACTAAAAGATATTTAATATCATTACCAGTAACACTTATGAAAAGATACCCAAGCATCTAGCATTTGTTAAATTAAATAATAATATTCCATAAAATTTACATCTGGATTTTAGCCCCTCTTCTAGAATTACTATTTAATCTTCACCTTTTTTCTTTCTCACTTCTAACCCAACTGCAACAGAAACACATGCACAAATTAAGAAATTATCTTACAATATACCCTTAAATTTTCTGAATATGCCCCATGTGTCCACTAATAGCCAAATGCTTTCAAATCTGTTCAGCTAAATGGATCGATAACTATATCCAGCCTCACATAGTGGGGCTGCCAACATGATGAAATGGAGCCAAACACAAAATGTTTCTACCAGGACAAAAATTAATATCAACCCAGTTATCTGAAGAGATCTACTCTCCCAGGTATTGTTTTGAGAAGTTGGCAAACACATTTATTAGGGCAGTGAACAGCTACTAAAAAAAAATCTGAGTCACAAAACAGAGGATTTGAAGAAAATATTTAGAAGCTAAAACCAGTGAGTTTTAGAATAAACCAATGTAACAGTTCAAGGTCTACATCAAGTAAGAATCTTTCAGAGTCAGAGTACACAAAATACGTAAGAGCACAAGCACACTGCTAACAAGCTTCTCTGTGCTCTCACTCATATGACACAGCTGCAAGCAACAACTGAGCAGGTGCAACCAAGCTTTTGAGAATTCCTGCCTGTTGCCCAGGAACCACAACACCGCATGGTTGAGATTTTAAACAGGTGCAAACATTTTTTTTCCGATTAGTCTAGTGCTTAAGACAGTGCAGCAGACAGTACATCTGCAACCACTCCATACCTAAAGCAACCATCACAGAAAATAAACTCAAAAACAGCAAAAAAAGTTTAAATAAAATAATAATGGCAAAAATGTGGTTTTGCAATGGTGTGACTCACCATTCACTTTAATAGTACAACTCCATAAAATACTCTATAATCTCTTCACCAGATGAATGCTTTGTAATTAAAATTATTCTGCCTCACCAAATCTTAGAAATGTTTACTTGATTCTTGCAATAGAATAAAATAAAATATATGTATAAAATGTACTATCCTTTGAGGCTGAAGCTGTCAATATCTGTAAGTAATCAAGAATTAACATTTTTACATTACAAAAGCAATCAACATAAAAATACTGTAACTTGTTAGTTAATTTATAGATTTACATAATTATAGGTAATTCATATACATACCTGTGCAGCTATGGGGCACAAACTTTCAATTTATCAGGTATTCTGAAATGTAAAACAAATATAAGTAAAAATTAATTTACTAAGTTGGAATGTTGCAACAATTCCTGCAAAGAATTAGGAAAAGTTTCAGTGCATAAAGAGGTGAATTATTTTTTATCAATATTTTCCCCAAAGGATATTTCATATATCTGAATACACGCGTGCGCGCGCACACACACACACATACACACGAGTCCCTTAGCAGTATATCATAAGTACCAGCAAGGGACTCTGACTCACCATGGTCTCTGAAACGCAAATGCTTTCAGTAGAGGGTGAGGCAAACACTTTAAAATGATTTTTTTTTTTTTTTTGGTATTCTTCCAAGACTATTGCCTTCCTAATACAAATATGACTGCTGCTCTCTAAAATGAAACTACTCCGATTCATCTGCACTAAGTTTGGATAGAATGCTAATGAGGAAGAAAGATGCTTTTGTAGAGCAGTCCACAAAAAAATGCTTGAATAAATAAAAGTAAACTTTGAATGTTCATTAACTTTAAGTTACAACAGCAAATAGAAATAAAATTGATTGCTACAAGAAGGAATCAGATATAATGAAAAATGACTCAACCCAACACACTTTGTCAAAACTGCCAGTGAAGTAAGTATTGATACAGAAGACTATGCAAGTCCACATTAAACAAAAGTAGCAGTTTACAATTAGACCTGAAAAACATCTGGATTTAGGTGGAAACTGTATTGCAACATGCAGCCTCCTAACTGCTGGTATCCTTAAAAATATTTCGTAATTCTAGCCAGTTACAGTGGCTTATGCCAATAATCCCAGCACCTTGGGAGGCTGAGGTGGGCAGATCAGATCCTGAGGTCAAGAGTTCAAGACTAGCGTGGCCAACATGGTGAAACACTGTACCTACTAAAAATACAAAAATTAGCAGAGTGTGGTGGCATGTGCCTGTAATCCCAGCTACTTAGGAGGCTGAGGCAGGAGAACCGCTTGAACCTGGGAGGCAGAGGTTGCAGTGAGCCAAGATTGCACCACTGCACTCCAGCCTGGGCAACAAGAGCAAGACTCGAAATAAATATAAAAATAAAAACAAAAAATTCATAATTCTTTTTGAAAACAAACTGGTGTGTTTGATATAGTTCTAAGCACAGCTGATGACAGCAACATATTATAGTTAGTAAGTCTACTTTATAACAATTGCTTAAAAGTATGTAGCAGTAATAATTTCGATGATGGCTCAATAAAATAGCATCCTCATATGCTTCTGATGGGAGTGTGGATTACAAAATGATTTCTAGAAACCTATGGAGTACTATGTACAAGAACTCAAAGCTCAATACTTTTACTCAGTAATTTTAGTCCCAGGGATATAACATAATGGAAAACCAACAGAAATTTATGGAAAAAAGAAAATTTTATGATAGTAAAAAACTATAAGCAACCTAAATACCTAATAAATAAAGATGGTAAAAACTATAAGCAACCTAAATATCTACTAGAAAAATAATTAAATAAAGCCTAGCACATCCATATAAAGAAATACTTGGCAAAATTTAACAAGGTAACTTAAAAGAATATTTTAAATTTTATGGAAAAATGCACATTTATAGTATTATGATGCTATAACATTATCTAAACATATAGGGCACCAATTACATGGACAGTATGAAATTATATGAATAAGAAAAAACAAAGAAGAAAACGAAGCATTAAGCGTGATTGTATCTGGAAAATAAGATTATGGATGATTTTAATTTTTCTTTTGACTTTCATATTAGTTAATTCTCTATAATAAGCATTATTTTTTTAATAGGAAAAATAATAGTAGGCAGGGTAGGGGTAAAAGGAAAAAGTTATAAAATGCTATATGGAATTCATAAATGTAATCTTCTAAGAAAAATAAATCAATTCAGTCACACATTAAACCCACTAACTGTATATACAATGAGAAGCTCACCCTCACTGCTTCCTCAAAGGGGCATAGCCAGGGTCCCTTTTATCCCACTGCTTTGGAATCTACACAAGTAATTCAATAACACATTTTTAATCATCTTAGTAAAACTTCTTTACTTATTATGCAGAGTGAAATGATAGCAGGAATAATTTAGGACTGCACATCTCTTCAACCTAGTACAGCCTAACTTATTCACTAATTCAATAGCATTCAATGAGCATCTACTACCTGCATAGTGCTGTGTTGGGCATTGCAATGTGCTAAAAGATAAATTAGGACGCACCTTACCCCCCCTGAGCTAACAATTTAAAACATTAAAAATGTTTAGACACAGCTCACATAAAGATGTTAATACAATACAGTTCAAGGCATTTGTGACAGATTTGGCACACTTTAAAGCAAAAAAACATATAATACTGGTTTATTCTTTTGTATTTCTGAGCAAACACTTGAATTTAGGTAACAATAAAAAGTCACGTGTATTACTGTCACCTATAAAATGCACTAGCAAATTAAGTATTTAAGTTTTTTCCTTATGTGATCTACTTTTTGCTAATGGACAGTTACTAATAGGAGATTAAGTATGAAGGAATAGTGATCCAATCAAGAATGCAGATGTGTAAGATTGTCTCAGTTTATCTGAGGTCACAGAAAACACATGCACAATTATTAACAGGCTGCAGTTATTTATTGGAAACGAAAGTAAATAAGTTGGTTACTGGTTAATCTTGTTAAAAGACACTGTTATGACAGCACCACCAGGGAAAGAAAAGACAATAGAGCGAACCACTTTTGTTATGCAGATAAAATGATCCCGTGTAGAGATTCTCTCAATAGCAGTCCAGTTTCCCGGTGGCCTGTAAACATAATCAGTGTTGCCCTTCTGAGGCCAGTGCTGCAGGATGATTCCAATGTTGAGGTCAGTGGGGTCAGCCCGTGTGAAGTGATGACAAGCACTAAGAGAAGCTAAGAAACTATTTGTGTGATCAATGATCCATAGACTGGGGCTTAGAGTTCTGGGAAGCAGCCGAGTTATGAGGTAGGGTGGTAGTAAGCACTTAGCTTTTGCCATCAGACAAATCTGGAATCCAATTCCAGCTTCCTCACTTTAGTTTTGTGATCCTAAGCAATTTAAATTTTCTGTCTGTAAAATGGTGATTATGTTACTCATCCTATGAGGCTATCTATGCAGATTCTATGTTATAGCTATGTAAAGGAACTAGCACAGTGCCAGCCATGAAGTAAGCATTTGATAAAAGGGAACTGTTAGTACTATCATACTTGTATTAAAAGGGAGAGCATGTCTGTTCCTTTAAGCTGAGGGACTAAGCTAGGCAGGGAGCAAGGAGATAAAGAAGGCTTGTTCAAGTAATCACCCTATAGTCCAGCAGCTCATCCAAAAGCCAGTCATGTGCTTGGTGTTCACAGAACATTTCTGAATCAGGAAACAGTGCAACACTAGTAATAGCCACAGTACCATTTCTAACCAACACTTTTAAGCTCCATTCCCGGTACTGACAAGGAAGGCAGTAGAGTCTAACTAATGTGTGCAGCAATACTGCCGAACTTCACTGGGTGAAAAATGAAGGATCATTTTCCACATTTAACTGAAACAATAAGAAAAAGGAAAAGAAGGACAAAATGAATATAATTACTCAACTGGAACTGGACCAAGGTGCTGTGTGATGTTCTTAGCAGTCACATGTGGGCACTTGATCACCTTTTTATGTATTCTAAGGAGATCCTGCTGATGACCAAAGCCTTATATATGAGGTTTGCAACTCTAAGTAAAAAAACGTTATTGTCAGTTTTTTCTTATGGCTGGGAAGACAGAAATGGATGCATATTGATGTTGTTCTAGTCCCCATTTGTGTTTTGATTTAAAGGACGGCACAGATCCTGAGTTGTTAAGTGGTGTGTCTTCAGATTCGTAAACAGATCATGTAACTGCTAAAGTTGTTTTGGTCACATGGGATGAAGTTACTATTAGCACCATTCTAGATGCAGATACACTACAGAGTGTTTGAGGTTTTTTTTTTTTTTTTTTTTAAGCTCTTTTTACTCCTAGGTTGGCATAGCTATGTTCTTCTGTGGTATAGGTCCAATTCTATGTTACAGAATACAGAAATTGTTTATCAATAGTTGGGCCTGGCAAGAGATGTCCCTTACACCATTAATAAATCTACTTACTAATTCACTTACATACTAAAAAGGGTCTCACCTGGGTCTGTGGGTACAGTGGCTTCATAAAAGAGCTCTAAGCATCCACAGGAATATTTTACATGCTTTACATTTTAAATTTGGTATTTTGAGAGAAGACTATGTGATCCAAAATAATTTTATTGTATTTAATATGTATTTGGTCCTTCTGGACCCACTACAGAGCTGAATGTTATCTCATTATTATAGGGTTATTATAAAATGTACACTTTACTCATCAATAAAGCCAATTTTGCTTTAAAAATTGAGGTGCCTGGCTTCTGTGGTTTCTCTGAAAAGAAAGTCCTATGAATAGTAGGGAGAACTATACATTTAAACGTAGACTTGAAAAACTTATGCTTATTTCTGTAAATTACTGAGCTAGGTTTGCCACTTCATATTTGAAAAACTATCTGCCTATCAGAAAGAGAAGTATGACAAGCACAATTATCTGTTTATCAACCCTGGGGACTGGAAACAGAAAAAGGGCAATAAGGAAGGAAAAGGAAATCATATGATAAACACTGTTAACCCAAGGTCACAAGTTGGTCTGTCTAGACCTTAGGTCAGATTAGCTGTGATAAAGCTACCAAATGCATAAAAGCTAAAGCTTATTTTAAAATACTACCAAATTTGAATTTTCTAGTATTAATAGCTACTACTTAAAATGAAACAATATCAAATTTCATGTATAAACATGATGAATTTGAACTCTCAAGTAGAATTCCAATCTACAATACACTGTTAATAATTCTAATTGTCCTATAATTCACACTTCACAGTGTATTATGGAGAAAATAGTTGTTGCATTTTTATTACTTTACTTAAACTTAACTTTTTATATAAAAGTTTAAGAGCAAATTAAGAAAATGTATTTTAAAA